TATTGTATGGAGATATATTACATAAAACATACGAATAAAGTCGTATTACATAAAATAAGACGCAATATGTAAAATTATGTTGTCATTTCTTGATTTATATAATGCATGGCGATAAAATAAATTTTTCAGTGTTGTGCTGTAATTCTTTGAGAAGAAGAAGAGGAAGAAATAGTAATGAACTGATTTAATACTTATTAATAAGGCAACCAAAATTATGTTGTAAAAATCCCTTTTTAAGCTCCTAAAATGCTCTATGAAATTGAAAAAAATGCTCTAAAGAAAGAAATATATACATTTAAAAATTATTTTTTGTCGCACAAATTTTCAAATTATTAATTAAGTTGTTTACTTATAATAACAAAGTAAAATGAATTTGATAAAATTTGTTTACATTTTAAAAAAATTGAATAGTTATATATTACGGGGCATTAAAATTAAACAAATACAACATATATTATTTATTATAGTGATTCTAGAGACAAAGAGATAGTCTTTGATGTTATGTATTATATGACACAGAAATATAGAAGATTGAATGTAAAAGCGTGAAATCTTTTTCTCCTTATGATTTCTCTGACATCACTGCGCACCAATGCATTGCGGCGTGTGAGAATCATTTATCTAATCAATTCCTTTTTCAAAAATGTAAAATATGTTGTAGCATATTTCTGATTGAGAAAAACTTATCTTAAAAATTCTTTATTATTTATTATTATATCAGAAAAATTCTCAGAAACTTATAAACTATAAACTTAAATTAGAAAACAATGTGAAATATACAATAAAAATATATAAAATATGTAAATATTGTCCATGTGTAAGCGAAATGTGCAAAAATATGTTTTTATGTGTAAAATATGTAAAAATATGCTCTTATGCGTGTGTGAAATAAGCAAAATATATTGTAACATATAGGACTCAAAATGCATAATTTCTTATGAAACAAATTTACATTTAGTTTATTTCTTTATAGTCAAACAAAAAAACATGCCCTATGTATATTTTGATTGCTTACTTATTAATAGTGTTTTTCAAGGAATTAAATAGATATCGCGTGCTTTCATATATAATGCATGTATTTAAATGTAATAAGTAAACGGAACGTAGCACATTCACAAAGTGTCACAAAATTAATATAATAATGAATTCGATATATAATAATGAATTACTCGCACGTATACTATGTATTGAATTATAACACATTTAAAAAAGGCTGCTTTTATATAAACGCAGTAACATATAATGGCATAATACAAAATCAATTTTGACAATGAAATTAATGCATGTGTATATTCTACCAGCTAGAAACCTGATTCTACTATAAATAATATGATTATTATTATAAGGTAATTAAAGTTTAAACTTTAAAATATTTATATGCTAATATGCTTTTATATTCAACTTTGTGAATTTTATATATAATAGAGCATTAATCAAATGTAATGCAAGTGATCGAATTCCCAAGCATTACATTACCCAAGCAGAACAACAAGCTACAAAATGTCAAAAATGACATTAAAATGAATTAGAAATAATTGAAAAATAACTTTTAATTATTTTAATCATTTTGACATCATTTTGATATCATAATAACTGTTGTTCTGATAAGCTTGCAAATTTTTTTCTACGTACAATTGTAGAAGATTTATGTTCATTTTTACCAATGTAGTATCAACTTTAACTCGATTCAATTTACTCTTTTTTTTTCTAGTTTTAAAAATTAGAAAGATGAAAGTACTTAAGCTGAACCGGGATTGAAGTTAATTCACATTGATAGAAACGAATATCAATATATATCTTGTTAAAAGACGTGGCATACGACTGTCGGTCGAACGAAGATTCGCGTACGCGCGCGCGCGCGAGGTGCATGTCGCGAGTGTCGCAAGCAACTTCAGATTTCAGACAATTTGTGACAGCCGCGTTTGTGGTAGTCGACGACCATCGACGACGAGTGCGAGTATCCGGGGATTCGCTTCCGCGTACGTCGCGAGGAACATCACCTCCATCGCCGAACGTTCGCGTTCGGTTCGTCTTGTAGACAATTGTCTCGTCAGAGTAAACGAGAACGGTGAGTCCTGTCGTTTGGTTAGAATTGTTAGAAAGCACCGGATGGCCGCGACACCGGTGTTTACGAGAGTCGCGAATCTCGGGCGCAGAATGGAGATCCGTCATTCGTTTTCACGCGCGATCACTGTATTTTCATGAAGTGTTTACACGCGAAACGCTCTGACAGCGCACGTCGAGAATGATTCCGTACGGCTTTTGGCCCTGGACCAGTATCGGCTTCAGTATCGACGATATTTATTATATATTTACTTTGTTTTGTTTTCGTAACGTCATTTGATGATGTGTATAGATACGCGATGCAAGTGTAAGTCGTAATTCTGCTCCATGCTAGATTCTGCAACTCCTAACGATAATGCCGTTGTTGTATAGTTACACAGATTTTTTACTACATATACTTGTGCAAGGATAATAACAAAACTCCTGTTAAGAGAAACTGAATCCCAGTTAATGCCAATTAAAAGTAATATAATGGATGCTTTCAGTTTTCATACTGTAAATCAGTTCATCTTTGTTATTTATCAAATATTAAATAAAGACAAATGATGCTTACGTAAGCAAGAAATATTCATGTCAATGTTATAATTTCGTACTCAACAATATAAATATAATATAATGCATAAAACTACGTAACAGTTATGTTGTTGAATATATAATTATAACATTGACATTACATTATTTTCAGTTGATGTCAACTGGTTGGTGCTGACTTTGATGGACCGTTGCTACATCATTGTTGCAAACGCTGACTCATAAAGCATCAATCAATTATATTTGTTTTTTCTATCAAACATTGTATTTTCAGATTGAAAAATGGTGGTGCTCAGCAGCTTGCTGCCACCGCAGGAAGGAATACGCCATGAGGAGCCAAACACTACAGTATATATCAATGATAGAGAAGTAGGAAAGGGCACATTCTATGTTACAGAGAGGTAACGAATTTCTTCTAATTTACTATTACGAATAATTTATAGATATTTTGTAAACTCTAATTACGTATTCTTATTGACAGCGTGCTCTCCTGGGTGGACAACGATACACAACAGGGATTTTCACTTGAATATCCTCATATTTCATTACATGCTATTTCACGAGATGAACAGGTCCATCCAAGACAATGTTTATACATTATGGTTGATGCCAAAGTAGATTTACCAGGTATATCATTTGGGAAATACAAAGAATATTTGTTAAAAATGATTTAATTCTTTTTTTCTGAACTTTTTGATCGACTTTGAATTCTAATTCATGTTATATTTTCATATAATTCAAAGATTTTCTGATAAGCTTAATGTATAATTTTATTTCTGCAGATATGCCATTACCGTTAGCATCTGAAAATGGTTCAGAAAACGAGGACGACAATGCGGATCCTCCAATTACAGAAATGCAGTTTGCGCCAGATAATACAAATAATTTAGATTTAATGTTTCAAGCAATGAGTGCATGCCAAGCGCTTCATCCTGATCCACAGGACAGTTTTTCTGACGGTAAGTAATTAGAAATGAGAGATAGTAGTCTTATTTCCGACTAACTGAGATGATTAAAAATTCCTATAATTAAAGAGGATATCTATGAAGACGCTGAAGAAGATTACGAAGGTGAATATGATGAAGAAGTGGGTGCTGGA